TCCCAACCTTCAGTAGAAAAGGTTCTTTCCTTTTTTGTGGATTGTAGGCAAGGAGGGATTCGTACGGGACGCCCGTGTTCATAGCTGTGCATACTACTTTATTGTTCGCGTGTTGTACGAGTAGGACTTATTCTTGGTCTTTTGATTCGTGCAGTTCTGGTGCAAGGGTTGGGAGCTCAGTCGCTTCCTCCATGATTCCTCCCTATCCTGGCAGCAATGCACGTGCTCGTGACCGAGTTCAAGCTCTTCAAGCATATTATCAACAACAACCTAGCACTACTGGAACCATTCGCACACCTGCAATTTCTGGTGCCAGAAGATCGAGTAGTCACAGAGGGCTGTCACAAGCACCCATGGCTTCTTCATCTGAGCAACCTAATGGCTTTTACTTCTACTCATCAGCATCGGGGGGTCGTAATTTCCAACCAGAAAACGCCATACCGAATCGTTTTCACGCTTGGGAAAGAGATCACTTACCGTCTTTTGGGTTGAGCCAGATGGAGAGAGATCCATCAGGCTGGGGAGAAATCCATCAGGGTGCCAGTGTTTCTGATCCCAGCATCAGGTCCAGCAACTTTCGACAAAGGCATGGTTCGGAGAGAACATCGTCACAAAACTGGTCATAGACCGACCAACCATCATTTACTTATCGTTTTCCGGTGAAGAAAAACTATCACTATGATGACTCGAAACTGAAAAATTTATGTAATGATTGAGATGATGATATGTAATGGCTGCTGAGTCTTTGATGTGTCAATAGACTCTAAATGCTGTAAGAGCAGCCGATAAAAAAAACGCTTGTTTCGGGCTGCCGATACGGTTAGTGTGATGGAGTTTCTTGAGTTTATCTGCCCTGGAGAGTATAGAATAACAGTATGAATTGGATGGGAAAGCTGAGATTTATATGTCCAAATGCTTCCTGTTCCATCCAGTTCATAAGATGTTGGGCTGATTTTAGGTGCCTCCAGAGGGTGAGATTATTAAATTTGGTAAATGTGTTCTTGCAGTGATAGTTGAAAATATTCAGTGTTTATTTGTAAACAATGAAATGTGGCGGTTTCAGTGATGTTGTTATATATCATTATGAAACACAAATGGTTTTCTTTTTTTTGGAAATGTGCAATGACCATAGTCAAATGTGATTATGTTTTATCAATTTCGTGTCGATTCATAGTATTGATTTGATTTAAGCTATTAAACTGTGTACGGAGTTTAACACTTGAAAGAATAGTGAAATTCTTATTGTGATGTCTGCTAGCAGTGAATTTGGGTCGTTACAAATGGTATCAGAGCCAAACATCGGACGATATGTCAGCCTTTTTGCTGTTCCCTGAAAGTGGGTGGATATGGGGGCGGTCCCACATCGATTGGAGGAAGGAAAGAGTGCCGGCGAGCACGCTGGACCCCGAAGGTGGGTGGATTGTTATGTCCCACATTGGTTGGAGAGGAAACTTTCAGACACGTTTTAAAGCTTTGAGGGGTAGCCTGAGGGAAAGCCCAAAGAGAACAATATCTGCTAGCGGTGGATCTGGGTCGTTACACTTATCAAGTAGGGTCAATCGAAAAAAATCTTTTAGATCAATTTGAAATTTTGAGTTAGTTGGATTAGTAACCACAACTCATATAGAATTCACACATGAATTCTTAATAGACGATAATTATCAAGTTGTTTTTTTAATTATTAATTTTTTTTTATCTATAATGCATGATATAATAATCACTAAAATCTAAACTCAAATATCCAACATTCACAAATCTCAATAAATCACTAATATCAATTCCAGAAGTCATAATAATCTTAAAAGTACAGCAAGATTAGGTTGAATGACTAGAACTCTCAACTAGTTAGGTTATCGAGTCATATGAACATTCTTAAAATCAAGCTCAATCTCACGTTCTATTAAAGACAAAACAAAAAGAGACGAACCTGAAATAATATTGCATCTCAACTCTCGAGAAATTATTAGGGAAAATAACAACGCGAAAAAGAAAAAGGAAAAGACAGAAAAGTACATCTATAAGATTTAGAAGACAAGAGAATTACAGCCCCAATGAAGACTGAATTATCTCATCTCAAATTATAAACATAAACATCATCAAAGACGATAGCCAGCCCTCCAAATATACCCAACTTTACTTTTCTCCTTTTACTATCCTATCCGAGAACCATCACAACAACAATGTCCTATTTTGAATATCGGTTGAGATATGATTCTAAGTATTCAAAATGAAGATATGATTTAAAGTAGTTGAGATATGATTCAAATATTCAAACTAATAAGATTTTAGAAAATTATTAGTAGATTTGAATTTATCTAGACTTCAATTTACTATTTATGGTCCAGTGTATAAGCTATAAATACTGTAATTGTGTAACCCTCTAAGCATCATGTCAGTAGACAATAATAAAGTACGGCAGCTTCCATCGATTCTATCTTTTTATATCTCTTTCACTATTCCTTCTTCCAACAATTTTGGTATCAGAGCCAAGTTCGTTCAACACGAGGGCAAGTGATTATTTTCTTTCACAAAACAAAAATGGCAGTAGCTGGTTTTTCTTCCTCTGCACAGTTGTTACCCATCTTTAATGGTGAGAAATATGAGTGGTGGAGCATCAAGATGAAGACCTTGCTCAGATCGCAGGAGCTATGAGACTTGGTTGAGCACGAGTTTGTTGATGTATTAGAACCCACAATAGAAGAAAAGGAGAGACTAAGAGAAACCAAGAAAAACGGTTCCAAGGCTCTATTCATTATTCAGCAAGCATTTCATGAGACTATCTTTTCACGAATTGCAGCAGCAACCACATCAAAGCAGGCATAGTCAATTCTACAGAAGGAGTTTCTAGGAGATTCAAAGGTCATAACAGTGAAATTGCAATCTCTAAGACGTGTTTACTCATGACGAATGGTGAATCAATTGCTGATTTTTTGTCAAGAGCAATGACAATAGTCAGTCAGATGCGTACCTATGGGGAGAAAATTTCAGACGAAACAATTGTTGCAAAGGTGTTGAGAAGCTTGACTCCAAAGCTTGACCATGTGGTGGCTACCATAGAAGAAGCTAAGGATGTATCCATACTCTCCGTTGATGAACTGATGGGCTCGCTTCAGGCTCATGAGGCAAGAATCAATAGATCATCAGAAAAGAACGAAGAAAATGCACTTCAAGTGAAGGAGACAACCAACCACAAAAACAATGAAAGAGAAAATATTCATTTAGCAGGTAGAAGTCGTGGAAGAAGAGGATTTCACAACTTCCATGGTGGTCGTGATAATAGGGATAGATGGAGAAGTGTTGGACAGAGACAATTCAATGAACAAAGGAATGTCATACAATGTTACCATTGCAGAAGGTATGGGCACACAAAATCTGATTGTTGGTATAAAAATCAACGAATGAATTTTGCAGCAGAGAATGAAGAAGAAGAAAGCTGTTTGTGGCGTGCATAGATACTAATCCAAAAAAAGGTGACTTATGGTTTGTTGATAGCGGATGCTTGAACCATATGACAAGCACCAAATCCTTATTCAAAGAGTTTGATGAGACGCAAAAGATTGTGCAACTTAGAAATACAAAAGAGATGCAAGTTGAAGGTAAAGGTACAGTGAAAGTCGAAACCAGTCATGGTAAGATAAAACAATTAGATAATGTTCAATTTGTACCTGATTTAGGGTATAAGTTATTGAGTGTTGGACAATTGATGACTAGAGGACATTCATTCTATTTGATGACAACACATGTGTCATTACATGTAAGAAATCAGGTTATAAAGTTCAAATTACCATGAATTCAAATAAGATGTTTCCACTCCATGTTTCTAACATGGAGGATTTTGCTCTTACTACTAGCACGAAAGATGACTCAACATTATGACATCTCAGATATGGGCATCTTCATATGAACGGCCTGAAAATACTCAGGGATAAAGATATGGTTTTCGGATTACCAAAAATTGATTCAACTAATTTGTGTGAACGATGCATTTATGGTAAGCAGACTAGAAAGTCCTTTTGTAAAATCTAAAAGAGCTCCAAATTATTTAGAACTAATTTATGCTGATTTATGTGGGCCAATGCAAACGAAGTCTTTGGGTGGGAGTATATACTTTTTACTATTTATTAATGACTATAGTCGCATAAGCTAGGTTTATTTCCTACCACATAAGTCGAAAACTTTTTAGAAGCTCCAGATTTTTGAAGCTATGGTGGAGAACCAAAGTGGCTGTCACATTAAAGTTCTTCGCACAGACAGAGATAGTAAGTTCATATCTAAAGAGTTTAATCTGTTTTGTGAAGAAGAGGGCATCCAAAGAAAGTTAACAACTCCCTACACTCCAGAACAAAATGGAATCGCTGAACGAAAAAATCGAACTATTGTGGAGATGACAAGAAGTATGTTACAAGCAAGGAGAATTCCAAACCAATTTTGGGCAGAAGTCGTAGCAACATCTGCTTATCTATTAAACATCTCACCAACAAAGGCGGTTATGAATCGAACTCCTTATGAAGCATGACATGGAAGGAAACCATCTATAAGTCATTTACGAATCTTTGGCTGTGTTGCTTATGCTTTGAAACATCTTCAAATTCGTCAAAAGCTTGATGAAAAATCTGAAAAATGCATTTTCATTAACTATTGTACTCAATCAAAGACATAAATTATACAACCCCATCCGTGAAAAAAATTTAGTTAGAAGGGATGTAAAATTTAATGAAAACGTGAGTTAGGATTGGAATAAAGAACAAGAGCAACAAAAGATTATAGTTGAAGTTTCCCCAAATGAAGAAACAAGGGTCGACTCTAGTGCATCTCCCAATGCATTCACTGCAACGCAAAGTGTGTCAAATTCATCATCTTCAGCATCACTGAACAACCATTCTTCTCTTGAAGAACTTTCAGATGAGACACCTCCAAGGAAGTATAAATCTTTAGCTGACATACATGCATCATGTCAATTTGCTCTTACGGTTTCAGATCCTATGAATTATAAAGAAGCAACTTAAAAAAAGAAGACAGAAAGAAAGCCATGGCAGTAGAGATGCAGTCCGTTAAGAAAGATGGAACATGGGATATGGTTAACCTACTAAACGAAAAGTTTTATGGAGATTTACAAGAAGAGGTATATGTAACACCGATTCATAAAGGAAGACAAAGAAACAAAGGTATACAAGCTGAGACAAACAATGTACGGGTTAAAGCAGACATATTTACAAATGCCTTGTCAAAAGAAAAGCTATGTACTTAACATCTCCAACTTTGAATCAAGGGGAAGTGTTGAGATATGATTCAAAGTATTCAAAACGAAGATATGATTTAAAGTAGTTGAAATATGATTCAAATATTCAAACTACCAAGATTTTAGGAGATTGTTAGTAAATAATTTATCTAGATTTTCATGATTTACTATTTCTGGTCCAATGGAATTGTGTAACCCTCTAAGCATCAAGTCAGTAAACAATAATAGAACACTGCAGCTTTCATCGATTCTATCTTTTCATATCTCTTTCACTATTCCTTCTTCCAAAAGAATCAACCAATCGGCTATGGCTTCGAACCAGGCTCACCTGCTTAAGTCGGAGTTCATATTCGTTGTTACGCTCAAAAGAAACTAAGTCTGGACATACTGTTATCTTTGTTCTAAGAAATATGCAAGTCTGTATCAGGATCTTACATTAGGTGAAAGGGATCTGGATATGTTTCTGGACTTGGACCAAGATCTGCTCAGACTCTGATGTTCGCTCTCATGGCGCGCTGCAATCAATGAGAAACAGAAGGGAAGTCAATAAGACAATCCAAAGGAAGGGGAGGGCCATATATATTCCATTTCCTACTCACATATGAAACTGACGATCCTGATCTTGATCTCGACGTTGATCTCGACCTGGGAAAAAGAGATAAATGATATCGAGTATCTAGGAAATTCTGGGTCTATAGCCAAAAGTCGTAATGATGGCGATCCACATTCGACAACGAAGGCATATTCTCAACTCTTCCTCCCAAGTCATCAACAGTTGAATAGAAATATAGAATCCAAGCGGATGGACAGTCAGTGGCGAGACAGGTGGAGAGAGAAGAACACACGAACTCTAACCCATAATGTGATAGTCCAAACCCACTGCTACCAGATATTGTCCTCTTTGAACTTTCCCTTTCGAGCTTCCCCTCAAGGTTTTTAAAACGCGTATGCTAGGGAGAGGTTTTCACACACTTATAAAGAATGCTTCGTTCTCCTACCCAACCGATGTGGACACTTATAAAGAATGCTTCGTTCTCCTACCCAACCGATGTGGACACTTATAAAGAATGCTTCGTTCTCCTACCCAACCGATGTGGGATCTCACACATACTTGGTTCATTAGTATGTCGGACATTGGTTCCTACCCAACCGATGTGGGATTTTAATATATTCTTGCGTATTTAAATTTGGGATTTCAGACATAAATATTCGAACCCTTATACTAATGTGGGATTTCAAACATACCCAACGTCTTTATTTCGTTCTCCTACCCAACCGATGTGGGTTTTCAGACCTACCAACGTCTTATCTCGGACTTTGGTTCATTAGAAAACCTATTCACCAGCATCCTTGGTTCATTAGTCTTTTTTTTTTTCTTTTTTTTTTCTTTTTTTTATGAGATGGAACCAGTCAGATAACCCTGACCTGACCTCATCTTACTAAAGGCTAAAAGATAATAAGGTATTTAAAAACAAGATTTCTTTACTAACACCAGTTCAAATGACACTGTTAAATAGACAGATCTAAGAGTAAATAGAAGGAAAATAAGTGACTATGACATACCATCACGATCACGAAAAACTTCCGAGAAGCATACATCACCAGCACGATGCATATGGTCCTGAATATTAAATTCACATAGCAAACTATAAATTAATAGAAGAGGGTGGAGTCATATACTAATTTGTTATTTCTATTTAACAAGGGTGCTATGATCGAGCAAATAAATGGACAAGTAGCGTGCTATTTCACTGAAATAAAAATATTGTGCTTACCTTCAGGTAATCCAGTAACCAAAACTGCACAAACACAATATCGTCACCGTAATAGGATCAAACTGTCACACTAGAAGTAGATAAAATACATACCACGATAGTCAGTTCGCCGAGAAACACCACTATGCCTGCTCCCACTACAACTATAACGATCTATTGAAGAGGAATGTCCTCTTTCACCATGTGCAAATTCCAACTACAAAGCAAGCATTGCAAAATTATACTTCGTGTAATGGCGCAAGCTCAACGCTAGATATTGTCCTTTTTGGACTTTACCTTTTGGGCTTCCCCTCAAGGTTTTTAAACGTGTCTACTAGGGGAGGTTTCCTCACCCTTATAAATCGCGTCTTCAGCATCATAAATATCTTCGAACTGAAAAATATGAAGACAATAGAAGTTTTACATAAGGATCACAAACAGCTCAGTGCAACTACTTGGATTCTTTGAATACCACACCCAAAATGATTTTTAGGGACTCAGATGAAAATGTTCCATCCACAGAGCCAGAGTTTCAAATGCGCCAAGTTTAAATCTCACCTCCACAAAAGCATAGCCTGGTGGGCGTGGGGGAGTCTTCAAATCAATGTCGACAATACGTCCATACTGCAATTAAACTAGAATTAGTCGGAAAATTTTCAAAACAACAACAAGAACTCTCGAATACTTTAAAACAAAAATTTCATGAAAACAAGCATGCGTGTATAAAAATGATAATCCGAGGAAATCAAACATAGATGGTGCGACTATTTCCACTACTCATCGTCTCCTTTGTCGTGAACAATAAGTACAAAATCTTGAAAAGGATAACAATAAATGCCAACAAAAATTGCATCACACAGTAGAAAGAGCAGCGTATAGATTAAACTAGTGATAGAGAAGAATAACCTATGGAGGCATAATCCAAGTCATCAATCATCACCATGGCTATCAAAATTAACACAAAAATCGAAATGAAAAAGAGAATCAACACGCGAAATGACGAAATCTTCATTCTTCTGTCAAGAACCGAAAACAAAAATTCGAAAGGGAAAACTACAAATTGAAGGAGAACAATTGATACCTGGTGATTTTAAGGCTAGAGAGAAAACAGAGGAGATGATTCTCGAAGATTTCTGAGTTTAAGAAAAAAATAATCGAGAATGAAACAGTGTATTTTATAGTGCCAGATGAAGCTAGGCTAGACTAGAATCTTGCTAACCACTCTTGACTCTTTTACCCCTCCCGTGTGAACTTCCGATCTCTGTCAAAAGGTAATTTCACTACGCCACGTGTCCAAAGCTTTAATAAAGTGTAAATAATTAATAACAATATTATGGAGTAAAAAGAGGAGATTAAATTTCTTAACTCTAAGTGTGATGTATTCTTGACCCTTCAAACTCGAAACATTCGAACAAACTTTCACTTCATTAAAAGGAAAAAAAGAAATTAAAACTTGACCCGACCCCGAAACTTGACTTGTGCCCCGGTTTGGCGCAGCTCCACGTTATCTTATCTAGCTCAGGTTGACTATTTTGAACCATGTTTTTATTGTTCTGTTCTGTTCTACAATTTTAGATCATTTTCATTTTTTACTTTATTAGAAAAATTTGAGTTGCATAGTGATTTCGGCTTACGTCAACCAAGCAAGTGATTCTACTACTCGATGCTCACGGATTTGATTAGATGATTTGTTGTATGCATCATATTAAAGAGTTTTAAAAATATTATATATAATTTTTTATAACTTATAAAAAAAACACTTTTAATTAAATAAAATAATGAAAATAGAAAATAGAAAATAGAATATATATGGTACAAAATATATTAAATTTAATTATTTTTTAAGATATTAAGATATTATTATTAAAATTAAATATTAAGATTGTATAATAATAAAAGCAAAGTTAAAAGAATGGCCAGATATTTTTTAAAAAAATCTTCTAATTTTAAAGTAATAATTATTATTTTTATTGTTTTTAATTTACAAAACATTAAAAAATTAAATTAAAATTTTAAAATAATAGATTAAATCAAAATTCTAAATTAAAATTTTGAAATAATAAATTTAAAATTTAAAATAATGAATTAAATAAATTATTTGAAGAACTAAAATAAAAAAAATTAAAAATTCAAATTTTATGAACCAAAACATATATTAATTATGATTTTAAATAGGTTTTATTAGAGTATTTTTGAATTTTTTTTATTAAAATAATAATTATTTAATTTATAAATAAATATTGAATTTTTAAAGAATTAAAATAATAAAAAAATTTAACACAAAAATAAAATTTAAAATTCAAACTAATAGCTAATACAAACTATAAGAACTGAAAACATCATTAACCTTACATTAGATTAAGAACAATTTACTAAAATATTACTAAAAGAATCAAAATTTACGGATTCGATAGGATAAACCCAAAAACATTCCCCTTTCAGCTCGAACCATGATTTTGTTCTTCTTGTCCTTATATTATACGAGAACAAATATGCTTGATCAAACAGACACAAAATCTCTTCATTGTCATAGCTTTTAATAAGCTAAACCACGTCCTTCCACGGAATCTCGAAAGACATCGAATTTTCAAATGTTTGTGTTCGATCAACCACAAATCCTAACGTCCATCCGCTATTCTCTTCTCCATAGCTTTGCATCATCCACACCTCAATCTTAAAAGGTTTGATAAGAAAAGGAACCACTATAAGGGGAGTAAGATTCGGATTACCTTGTTGATCGAATATCTCAAGGCAAGAACATTGTTTGAGATTCGAATCAATCCACAAGCAAGATCGATCATGTCTAGCTTGAATGATTCTTATTGATCAAATATCTCAAGGCAAGAACACTTGCTTGAGATTCGAATCACTCCACAAGCAAGATTGATCATGTCGAGCTTGAATGATTCTACATGCAACCTAAACTACATAGAATTGCAAAGAAACTTAGTCATTGGATAAAGAAGAGCACAAATGCTTCTTTTTACTATATTTTTCAAGTCTCTTACACATACAACATACATGGCTTTATATAGCCTCAAAATGAAACTATTAAAGACATTCCAAGAGTTGTAACATTCATACTTAATGATCATAATTAACCATTATCTGATTGTAATCTATAGTAAATAAAGTCTTAAAATACATAAATGAAATACAATAACTCTAAATTGTAACCCACCCAAAATTTATAACAATCAAACTTCATTCTTCTTCAATGTGGCATGAATTGAAACATCTTTTGATAATTTTGACAATTTTTTCTTCACATCTTCATTGAAGTATATTGTATGATTGATGTCTTTTAGTTCATATCAAAGTTGTTCTATCTCCATAATACTGGTGTAGAGATTGCCATTAAAAACGCCAATCGTGACATAATCAGCTAATTTTGGAACATCAATTATGTCAAATTTTCCATGTTCAACATCCAAACGACATAACCTTTTTTCCTTTCTTTTAGTGCCAATCCAATAAAGTCGAAGTAAACCCCAAAATAAAAATCTCAACATTGCTCTCAGAAATTCTCACTACTTTATATTGTGTGAGGTTCGGGCTGACCCCAAATCCATACCAATAACATTCTTGTTCATATCTGGGAAGATTCATGCACTCACTCGTCATGGGATTTAGAATGCTAATATAAGTTTTAAAACATCTGCTTCCATTAACGATACATAATAACCATTGGCATGAATTTGCAATTACGGTAACGGGAGAAGAACCAAATCGAAACAAAGCAACAATTTTTATACCTTGACGATACTTCTGATCGAACTCTATGCAACGCATATTAAAATTGTACTCCATTCGAGCACTTAAAAGTCGAGGGACTCTACACTGTAGAGTACAAACCAAAAAAGTGTTCGGAAAGAATTTTGAAATAACTATGTCGTTCCATTCTTTACAAACCAGCCTTAACACCGAACAATTGACCTTTGTAATTTTGGAGATTATAATTTGAATAATACTATGGGGAGCTCTGTATTCATCTTTTTATTATTTTTCTCCCGTAAAAAAATAAAAAATAAATATATAAATTGAAATTAAAAAAAAATCAAATATATCAAATTTACCTAATATACTTCAAAAAAAAAATATATTTATAACATATATTTTCTAATAATTTAGAATGGGGTGAAATAATTAAAAAAAGAAAAAATTAATTATATTTATATAAGTTCTATTTAATATTTAATTATGAAAATTTTATATTTAATTTTATTATCTTAAAAAATAATTAAAATCAATACAATATAACAAATAAATAAAGAGTTTATTTTTTTAAAAAAAATAGAGAGAAGTATTATATTTAGAAAAAATATATATTTTATTATTTTATCCTAATTTAAAATATTCTATATTTTATTTATTTTAGTATTTAATTTATGAAATACAATAAATATATTCTTTTTTATATTTAAAATATATTATCATATTAAATATTAATTTGAATATTTCAATAAAAATTTGAAAGGAAACAAAAATTGAAAAAAAAATTAAAAATTAAAAATAAATTTTTTCAATATATTTTTAAAAATCTACCAAAGAAAAACAATAAAAAAAATTAGAAAACATCAAATAAAATAGAGTATGTATCCTTTTTAAAAAATATTTTAATATAAAATAATAAATTAAAAATATTTTTACTTTAAATATAAGTTCCTTATTTATTTATTTTATTAAATCACTTCATTACTTTATTTAATTTTTAATTTTAAACTGTTAATTTTTTTTTACTGGTTCTCATTATTATTTTGAAATTAAACGGAATGAAAAAGAGAAAAAAACATACAAACATGACACGATCAAAGACAAAATTTAGGTCGAAGGTTAAAAGAATGAAAGACAAAAACAAGAACAATATTCTTACGATTTGTCTTTTTGTCGGTCTCTTTGTTGTCGTCGAGATGGGTGTTATAAGGTTTGATCGAGATACATTTGTCTGGAAACGAAGATTTGTATGTTGTCGATCCCTTTGCTATCGTCGAGATGGGCATTACAAGGTTTGATCAGAGAGACGTCGGAAAACGAAGATTTGAAGATGGGTTTTCTTGATAATAAATGCAAGATTTTTAAAATTAATTCTTTTTATTAACTTCACATACACTGCCATTTTGTTCGTTTGATATTAATTTTTTTACAAGTTTATTAAATAAACTAAAATCTATTTTAATTTTTTTTACAAAAATTATAATTTTGATTTAATTCTGGCTTTAAAATTCTTATAAAATTTGTGTGTAATTTCAAAATTTTCTTGATTTTCTTGATTTTTTTAAATCTTTAAATTTTAATTTTATCATAATATATTATAGTATTTTCAAAGATATAATCTCTTATTTTCTAATTGAAAAATGATATAAAAAAGAAACCAAAATTATTATTTCCTATTAGTTATATATAAAATTTATAATTTAAGTCAGAATTTTATTTGTGTGTTCTTCCCAATTTAAAATTTTCTATTTTTATCTGCAAATTTATTGGGAAAAAAACTGTATTTTTTAATTTTTTTTAACTATTTATTAATAATTTAATAAAAATGTGAAAAAAAAAATTAAATTATTTCTTATATCTGATATTTAAATTTGATATAGGATCATATTTTCTTATTTTATTTTTAATTCTTATTATGTAAATAAATAAATTTTTTATAGCACTTTAATAATAATTAAAACATAAAATATTGTTTTTCTTTGTATTAAATATATATATAAAACTAAGTTAATAAAAATATAATTTTATGTCAGTCTAAACTTTTAAATTTAAAGACACTGAAAGCTCTATTGAGACAAAGATTGGCTGTCAAGAACGTAGAGGAGGTAGGATGGGCAGTTGGTCAGATCTAGTATGGATCGTAGACGGTAGTCGGCGGCTCTCTTAGGTTCCCTCATATGGGATCCGTAGGGAAGAGGATCAAGTTGGCCCTTGCGAACAACTTGATGCACTATCTCCCTTCAACCCTTTGAGCGAAATGCGACAAAAGGAAGGATAACGCAGAGGAGATAGGATGGGTAGTTGGTCAGATCTAGTATGGATCGTACATGGACGGTAGTTGGCGGCTCTGTTAGGGTTCCTCATCTGGGATCTCTAGGGAAGAGGTTCAAGTTGGCCCTTCCGAACAACTTGATTATCTCCCTTCAACCCTTTGAGCAAAATGCGGCAAAAGGAAGGATAATGCAAAGGAGATAAGATGGGCAGTTGGTCAAATCTAGCATGGATCCAGACGGTAGTTGGAGTCGGCAGCTCTCGTAGGATTCCCTCATCTGGGATCCCTGGGGAAGAGGATCAAGTTGGCCCTTCCGAAGAACTTGATGCACTATCTCCTTTCAACCCTTTGAACAAAATGGCGGCAAAAGGAAGGAAGAAGCCAACATCCAATTCAAGCTTTCAAATCAAAATTTCTCTCAAAATTTTAAGAAAGGAAGGTTTCCACCCCCTTATAAAGAAGATTTCGTTCCCACATTCTCCTCCCCAATCGACTGATCTCACAATACACTCTAGGTGCAACATCATCATTCCCCTCCACAATCGATGTTAGATCTCACAAAAAATACCCTTATCATTAGTTTTGAACAGAAACGGTTGGTAATTTATTTCAAAAATATTTTTGAACTTATGTTAATATTCCAAAAATACCCTTAATCGTAAAGAAATTTCCTTAATACCTAAAGTTCACAATGACTTATTAATCTAAAAAACAAACAAACGGTTCATGAAAATATGTGATTCTCAAACATACGAAGAGACAAGTACTGTGTTTTGTTGAATGAAACTAGAATTTTTTGATGAAGTCAAGGATGTGAGTGTTGATCTCTTCAGGCTTCTCCTGGTTGAGAAAATGCCCAACTCCCTCCATTATCACAACTTCTTGTAGAAATGGCACATTCTTCTTGAAGCCTCCGCCATTGACATACTCCTTAACTCCTGGTGTTGTATACACAATGTCAGCATCTCCAACTATGTATTTCACTGGCACTTTCACTTCCACCCCTGTCCATGGGGCTGTTAGCTCCCAGTTTCTACAAATACAAATCAGTCTGTTACTTACGACACGAGTACGGTTTCGTTAGTACAATGTATGAGATGTTAGAGCTGTCTTGCCGATGGGGTGCTAGATGAACTGTAGAAAGATTGAAGGCAAGAATGCGCATGACTTTTGGTTAGATTTTGTGAGATTCTTTTTTATAAGAGAGTGTAACCTCTCTCTAGTAGACGTGTTTTAAAAATCTTGAGGGGAAGCCAGAAAGAGAAAGCGGACAATATCTGTTAGTAATGGGTTTGGGCTGTTACAGCTGTTACAAATGGTAACAGAACAAGACACTGAGCGATGTGTCAGCGAGGAGGCTAAGCCCTGAAGGGGGTGGACACGAGGCAGTGTGTCTGTAAGGACACTGGGCTCCAAAGGGAGGTAGATTGGGGGGTCCCACATCAATTGGAGAATGGAACAAGTGCCAGCGAGGATGCTGGGTCCCCAAGGGAGGTGGATTGTGAGATCCTACCTCGATTGGGGAGGAGAATGAAACATTCTTTATAAGGGTGTGGAAACCTCTCTCAAGTAGACGTGTATTAAAAATCTTGAGGGGAAGCTAGAAAGAGAAAGCGGACAATATTTGCTAGCAGTAGGCTTGGCTGTTACAGCGGTTACAAATGGTAACAGAGCCAGACACTGAGCGATGTGTCAGCAAGGAGACTAAACCCTAAAGGAGGTGGACACAAGGCGGTGTGTCTGTAAGGACATTGGGCTCCGAAGGGAGGTAGATTGGGGGGTCCCACATCAATTGGAGAATGGAACAAGTGCCAGCGAGGATGCTGGGTCCCCAAGGGAGGTGGATTGTGAGATCCTACCTCGATTCGGGGAGGAGAACGAAGCATTCTTTATAAGGGTGTGGAAACCTCTCTCTAGCAGACGCATTTTAAAAACCTAGAGGGAAAGTCCAAAAGAAAAATTCAAAGAGAACAATACCTGCTAGCGGTGGATTCGAGGCTTTGTTTGAGTGTGAAACCAGAGTGAAAGATAAAAAGACAATAATGAAGGTTAAATCAAGAGTTTTGTAGTGGGTGACTTACAAATCCATTGATCTGTAGTAGTTCAGTGGTCCAGTGAAGCCCTTCTGCTCATATTTGGAGGCAAAGTAAGAAAGATCTTGTTCTGAGAGCCAAGACGGTAAGGGAGGAGGGGATCCAGGCCTGGCTTTGAAGGCTTGTCCTTTGGGCAAAATGAGAGGACCTGGGCTTCTTGTTGTCAATATGCCTTGTAACACTGCTTTCGCTTTCGCACCCACCTCGGCCATCTCTTCTTCAATCTCTCCCGGATTCTATAAGCCAAAAGAAGAAAAAAGAACAAACATCTTAAGTTTGATTGCTCTATTTAGAACTCAATCACACAGATCCTGTTCAAGTATAGTTGTTTGATAGTTCTATTCCAAAGCAAAAAACACACCAATATGAATTGGCCCACTTTGTCGAAACCACCACAAGAATCTTTCACAAAGTGCTTTTAGTCAAGTTATTGAGATAAGAGCCCATTCTTGTGAGATCTCACATTGGTTGTAGATGAGAACGAAACATTCTTTATAAGGGTGTGAAAACCACTCTCTATCAGACGCGTTTTAAAAACCGAAAGGAAAAACTCAAATATGACAATATCTGCTAGTGGTGGACTAATGGTATCAGAACTAGACATCGGGCGATGTGCCAACAAGGAGGCTAAGCCCCAAAGAGGGGTGGACACGAGATGGTGTGCCAGCAAGGACGTTGGGACCCGAAGTGAGTGGATTGGAGGGTCCCACATCGATGGGAGAAAGGAACGAGTGCCAACGAGGATACTAGGCCCTGGAGGGGGTGGATTGTGAGATCCTACCATGGTTGGGGAGGAGAATGAAGTATTCTTTATAAGGATGTGAAAACCTCTCCCTGACAAACACACGTTTTCAAAACCAAAAGAAAAAGCTCAAAGAAGACAATATCTAGTAGCAATGGACTTGGGCCGGGCTGTTACAATTCTCGACTCTTCCAAGTAGCATTTTGAACCAGAAAATTTGAAAGTAGTACTTAAATACTTCAGCTGTTCTAGGTGTTCTTGCAAATTTCAAAATCTCTTTCCATTATTCAACCAAACACTACGAAAGGTTCCAAAAACAATTCCTATCTTATTCGAAAACTCATGCTAAAACCACTCAGACACAGATTAAGATGAACAAAAAATGTTGCACACAGATCAATATAAGCATGAATTTCAGATATGGATTTCAGAGTATGAGATCTTGTAACACTCACCCATGATCAATTCTATTAGGCAACTGTTTAACTATTTGCAACAGGGAAAAACCATAGTTCAACTCTTCCACAACATGAACAAATCCAGCAAAAGCTCAAACACGATGGCTTTCATGAACACAAAAGTGAATAATTACCACAGAGAAAGCACTCTCAAAACCTAAGATTATCAAAATTTCCAAAAGAAATCAAAGAACCTAACCTGGAATCTGCAGATATAGTAATCATCGCCAAAAACCTTCCTAAATGTCTCAACAGGCTTCATCATCGGATTCCTAGGTCTAAACGGCACACTCAGACACACAAAAGCCTTCACAATCTCAGCGCGGAACGAACACAAAGACCAAGCGATAATCGCGCCCCAATCATGCGCCACAACAAAAACCTGCTTAACTCCAAGACTCTCAACAAGAGCAACAAGATCCCCAACAATATGCATAATGGAGTAGCTAGAAATCGAATCAGGGGAATCAGAATCGCCATACCCGCGAAGATCCGGCGCCACAGCGCGATAACCGAGTGAACTCAAGGCCAAAATCTGATGGCGCCATGAATACCAAAGCTCTGGGAAGCCATGGATGAGTAGCACAACTGGGCCTTCACCCTTCTCGGCTACGTGCATGTTTATGCCATTGACGCTCACGGTTCTGTGCTGGATTGTGTCCATGGCTATGCCTTGATTTTGGTTCCTTTTCGATAATGTTGAATTCTTTGGAGTTCACCTCTTATGGCGTAGGAAATCATCGGGACTCGTTGCGTTTCACTTGTTCTTCGTTTTAAGGAAAAATAATAAATTCTCAAACAAAAAAAAAAAACAAAATATAGAAGGTTGTTATAATATTTAATTTATAAGAGTAAACTGCAATAATAGTTTGTCGTTTAACGGGGGTGTACATTCAACTCCACAATTTGGACCAACCCAGCCCAACCTGTAGGGTTTGGTTGTATTATCATTTCAAATAGGATTTGGTTCATTTTTCTAAACCCGAACGGAATCGATTCGGTTTTGGGTTCGTAGATAAAACCTTCGGGTTGATCCGAGTCAAATAAAAATATATAAATTATATCAAGAATCTTTCTGTATTAATAGGTTTGACAGAGTGGTACAGGCAAACCTATTGCAATTAAAATATTTTATAGTATTTTTATTTTTGTATATTTTTAAACTAATCATTTTTATTGTTTATTTAATTAGATGGTTTATAGAAAAGTTGGTATTTAGCTGTTTTTAATTTTATGACAATGTTGAAATATGTTAATATGTTATAATTTTCGCTCGTTGTTTTTTATTGATTTTTTTATGTGAATAATATTATAAATTATTTGTTTGTGAAATTTTAATATATTTTATATAAAATTGTATTATAATAATTATAAATGGTGTATATATAAAAAAATTTAAAATTATTTTGAGTTACCGATTTAAAATTTTGGGTTGGGTCAAAAAAATCCCTCAACCCAACCAACTCGGACCATGTACACCCCTAAAAATCCCTCAACCCAACCAACTCGGACCATGTACACCCCTATCGTTTAGTTTATAAAAGGAAAATTACATTTTAGTCCCTAAGTTTAGATTATATGGCTATTTGGTCCCTGAGATTTAAAAAATATTTTTTTATTTTCGTTTTTTAGTTAAATTTAACTTAGGGACATTAATAAAAACGTGAGATTTTAAAATGTGTCATTTTAATATTTGCAAAAAAATTAAAAGTTAATTATTTATCCTCATAATAAATATTTTTTAATATTCTTAAAAAATAATTACATAAAAAAGACGTACTTGACTTTGTATCCAATTTTTATACCATTTTCTACGTTTTTACTCTTCGGAACCTAATTTTGACATTACAGAGGCTATTTAAGGACAATAAGACTCTAGTTACTCAATTATATATAGTCTTAGGATAAAGTACAGTCTTGGAGTAGTCACAAAATAGTTAGGGACTTCGACCAAGACCAACAAGTAAGTGAGCTTATAGTTGGAGTTGGAAGAATTGTATGATGTATGATGATGCATGCTCTGTGACTCATTCATGCGCCATAATGCTATGTTGTATTTATATATATTGTGTAATGATGTATGATGTCATGTTATGTATGTGAGGTCCTAATATGTCTTGATATGAACAAAATAAAAAAACTATTTATATCATGTGCATCTGTGGCGTCCGGCGACACGATAGTGCATTGTGCCCAAACAAGCCAAGCCTAAGGGTACCTATACAGGCCCATCTCATGGGTCCATGTGCGCGTGCTGGACCGTATGTGGGAAAGTACCACACGTCCAACCTGCCCGAAACTGGAAATAGCTCAAGGTCATGCTACGATTTTAAAAGATAGGTCTCATCATGTATTTGTGTATTTGCATTACTCAACCCCAACAATGGATTTACTTACCGAGTATTTCTTAAAGTACCTAAGCCATGTGTTATTCTTATATTTTAGGTAAAGGTAAAGCACTCCTACACGGATGATGGTTGTAATGGTGCCCGAACAAGCCAAGCCCAAGGGTACCTATACGAGCCCATCTCGTGGGTCCATGTGCGCGTGTTGGGCCGTATGTGGGAAAGTATCACACATCCAACCTGCTTGAAACTGGAAAGAGCTCAAGGTCATGCTACGATTTTAAAAGATAGGTCTCATCATGTATGTGTGGATTTGCACTACCCAACCCCAAAAGTGGGTTTACTTACCGTGTATTTCTTAAAGTACCTAAGTTATATGCTATTCTTATATTTCAGGTAAAGGTAAAGCGCCCCTACACGGATAACGGTTGTAACGGCCCAGATCTACCGTTAGCAAATATTGTCCTCTTTGGGGTTTTCCTTTCGGGCTTTAAAACGTGTCTGCTAGGGGAAGATTTCCAAACACAATGGTGTTTTGTTCTCCTCCCCAACCAACGTGGGATGTCACAATCCACCCCGTTCGGGGCCCAACGTCCTCGTGTTTTATTCTCCTCCCCAACCAATGTGAGACATCACAATCCACCCCCTTTCGGGGCCTAGTGTCCTTGCTAGCACTTGTTCCTTTCTCCAATCAATGTGAAACCACAACCAAATCCACCCCCCTTCGGGACCCAGCATCCTTGTTGGCACTTGTTCCTTTCTCCAATCGATGTGGGACCGCCACCAAATCCACCTCCCTTTGGGGCCCAACGTCCTTACTGGCACATCGCCTCATATCTACTCCCTTCGGGGAAGAGCGAGAAGGCTGAAAGGTTTCCACACCCTTCTAAATGTTGTTTTGTTCTCCTCTCCAACCAATGTGGGACATCACAATCCACCCCCTTCGGAGCTCAACGTCCTTACTAGCACACCCCCTCATGTTTACCCCCCCTTCAGGGAACACCGAGAAGACTAGCACATCGTCCAATATCGGGCTCTAATACCATTTGAGACAACCCAAATCCACCGGTAGCAGATATTGTCCTATTTGGACTTTCCCTTTTAGGCTTCCCCTCAAGGCTTTAAAACCCGTCCGCTACGGGAAAGTTTCTATACCCAATGTTTTGTTCTCCTCCCCAACCAACGTAAGACATCACATGGATCCGGGGCCTGAGACATCACATGGATCTGAGCCCGGCCATTACAAATGGCCTCTAATTTAGTTCATTTATTAGTCATTTAAGTTACATTAATCACTATTATCCCTAAAACAAATCCCCAACAAGAACAAACTAACCAATTTGATTGAAAAATTCAACAATCCCTTAAAATAGAAAGCTAATCCCAACAAAGAAACCACCCAAAAACATGTCCATCTCAACTTTATCATCTCATCTTCAAACAACAACACATAGTTCTATCATCATCAACCAACCAACAGCTCAAGAACATGAAGCTCATATCAATTGCTGCCATGGCTATCACAGTTCTATCAATGACCCACTTTCAGATACTCGCCGACAATCCCCAAAAGCCCTTCCTTACAAACGCAGATCTCATCACCAAAACCTGCAGCAGCACCCCTTACAACGACCTATGCCTATCAATCTTAGAGTCATCTCCCAACAGCAATGGCACAGATCTGTATGGGCTAACAGAGATCATGTTGTATATTGCAGCTGAGAATGTGAGCCTCATACATGAACACCTAATGGAATTACAAAACAACACAGAAATGGATACCTTCATGGATGAGTGTTTGACGGATTGCTTGGAGAACTATCAGGACGCGACCGACCAAATCGAGGACTCGATCACGGCGCTCGAGTTCAAAGCGTATCATGATATCAAGACATGGGTAGCAGCAGCCATGAATGATGGAGCTGTGTGTGAAAATGGGTTCAAAGAGAAACCAGACCACAAGTCACCAATTGTGGAGATGTCTAAAGTTTTTGATCAGATATGCAGCATTATTCTGGCTATGACGAATATCTTATCTCAGGGAAATAGGAATATGAACTCTGAGGATATATTTAATTTCTAAAGGGAATGCTAAGCTCTAATTCGATTCGTTTTGAAGTTTCGTATGAACAAGATCGTTTTTTTTTTTAATGTAAGAGATCGATTGAATCCATTCGGTTTAAAGTTTTGTATACAATATATGTTTATGTAAACCCTTTTTTTTTTTAAGGTAAGAGATCAGATCGAATTCATTTTAAAGTTTCGTACAATACCCGTTTTTGTGTTGAAAGTAAGAGATCACGAAGTTATTTTAAAGTTTCTACCATACCCATTTATATAAACAAGATCTTCTCTAAAAGTAGGTCGAATTCATTTTAAAGTTTTGTACAATATCCGTTTTGGTAAACAAGATCTTCTCTGAAAGTAGAGATCGGGTAGTACCATACCCGTTTTGAATTCATTTTAAAGTTTCGTACAATACCCGATTCTGTAAACAAGATCTTTTTTGAAAGTAAGAGATTGGATCGAATTCATTTTAAAGTTTCAATACCCGTTTCTTTAAACAAGATTTTATGAAAGAGATCTGATCGTATTCATTTTAAAATTTCGTACAATACCCGTTTATGTGAACAAGATCTTCTTTGAAAGTAAGAGTTCGAATCGAGTTCCATTTTAAAGTTTCATATAATATCGGTTTTTGTAAACAAGATCTTCTTTGAAAGTAAGAGATCGGATCAAATGATTCCGAACGCGACGGAATTGGTAAACAACTATATAGAACAACCTTTACCCACTGATTGGATCGGTTCACCAATTTTTAGACTGGTTCTCACAAAAACGTTCGATGCTCCAAAAACTAGACACAGTTTTCCATCTACCCAAGAAATTTGAAGGAATTCCAACCTTGATAAGGCCATGAATAGTGATCCCGAACACAATCAAACAAGTAAGTAGCCATATGAAGCAAGTTTCAAAGGGTCGATTAGGACCATGGGAAAATGATTAGAAATCATGTTTAGGAGCTTAATTGACCTAGTATCATGATAGCTAAGCCTCGGTTTAGCACATTATTCAGTTTTACAGCTTCCGCAATACATATTTGAGAACCCTAATGAAGTACCCGATCAAATAAAAAAATTTACTAGGTCAATTTAATTCATCCGGGTTCACCCTGATGAAGAACTCTGATGAAGTACCAGATCAAAACAAATCATGTGAACATGAGTCTTAGCCTAAATTAATCAAACAGAACCAAATCAAATCAAAATCAATATGGCTCAGTTCAAATTAAAACGCAGACCAGATCAATTTTTTAGTTACAGTGAAAATCAGACCAGATCGAACGATAAACACCTTACTTATAAAGGGACGAAAGAGTACGTGTCAAGTCCGTACAATTTTGAAAACGAGATGATTACCAAACAAACTCGTAATACAAGTACGTAAAACTTGTATCGAGGGCAAAATGTGGTCAAATTTTCCCATTTTCGACCTCATCGACCTCATCTAGGGCTCCCGGAGGGTAGAAGTCATATGGACCATAAGAAAGTGACCTTAAAATATTTTGGACACTATATTGCCTATCTAAGCTTGGCTTAGGAAGGCTCAACCCTTTGATTATGCCTTTGTTCTTTGGATGATCATCATCACCGTTCATTCCCATCTCTACCAGATGTGCTGATCCCTCTTCCTCCATCATCTCCGTTGATTTTGTTGACTTTGACTTGTCCTTGTACATTCCATACAGAATCAGCTGGACCGTCCCCAATGCAAACCCTATTCCATTCGGCACCTAAGCAAAACGGAAAATTTTCATTTACTTTCGAAATTGTAACAGCCCAAGCCCACCACTAGCAGTGGTGTCCTTTCGGGGTTTCTCTCAAAGTTTTTAAAACGTGTCTGTTAGGGTTAAAACGAATTTGCTAGGGAGAGGATTCGAGACCCTTATAAAGAATGTTTCGTTCTCCTCCCCAACTGATGATCTTACCGAATTAGTAAAATTTTAAAATTTCAAACACGAAAAAGTCATATGTTTTTAATTAAAAAATTACCGAGAGAAAGTATAACTTTACCAGTATGTAGATGTCCTTGACGAGAATAGCATAGGCTGACCAGACACCAGCATTTAAAAAGAGGAAGAACGAGAGAAGAAATGGCATATACTCAACACTTTTCGTCTTTATCACGTTTCTCTGTTAAACAAACACGTATTTTCAACCTCGAGAATTCGACTGATATCGAAAAGTAATCGAGGCAAGCTAGGGTTGAGGATGGTTACCATGGCAGCTAGAGGGGAAGCATACATGGCAATGGTTAAAGCAACACAAAGAATGCCAACAAAGGTGAGCCTCAAGCTTCCATGCATGGCTAAGAGGGTTGCACCAATTACACTTCCATAGAACACAACATTGAACATACCAACTAGCTTCATTGTTGTAACCTGAAATTGTTCACAAAATTAAGCTTAAATAGCATCTAATAATCACATTAGCGTTCGGGCCATTTCAAACTCTTAAAATGTTTATTTTAGTCTCTAAACTTTAAAATATATGTTCGGCCTCGGAAAATATATATAGCTTCAATGTATGTTGATCATAATAGCACAATAATGCACATATTTGAAGTCAGACTTACTGTGATTTACTATCTATGTTGCATAGGATTTAGATCAGGATTTAGAATTTGAATTCGGCGCCCGATAATCCTATGACATGGTTATGAATGTTCCTCCTTGCCTACTATCCCCACAACTAACACGAGTCATTCCAGTTCACTATACCCACAATGATTCGGATTAGGATTCAAAATTTGAATTTGGCACCTGATAACCTTATGACATGGTTACGAATGTTCCTCCTTGCCCACTATCCCCACAAACTAACACGAGTCATTCCAACTCACTATCCCCACAAGGATTCGAATCAGGATTCAGAATTTGAATTCGACACCTAATAATCCTACGACATGGTTACGAATTTTCCTCCTTGTCCACTATCCCCACAAACTAATACGAGTCATTCCAACTCACTATCTCGAAAAGGATTCGGATCAGGATTTAGAATTTGAATTCGGCACTTGATAACCCTATGACATGGTCACGAATGTTCCTCCTTGTCCACTATCCCCACAAACCAACACGAGTCATTCTAGCTCACTATCTCGAAAAGGATTCGGATCAGGATTTAGAATTTGAATTCGACACCTGATAACCCTACGACATGGTCACGAATGTTCCTCCTTGTCCATTATCCCCACAAACCAACATGAGTCATTCCAGCTCACTGTCCCCACAAATCAACATGAGTGCTTCCAACATATTTTGTCTTCACTCACATGCATCTTTAGAAATTCTCAAGAGAAAACCCAACATAGAATTACTCTAACCAAAACATGCTTAGGAGTTCCTATGATTAAGCTATAAAAAAATAATAAATAAATAAAACTGCACCTTGTTGATATATAGGTAATAACTTTCATTTTCTTTCCAGTCTTTCTTAGTCATCTTATCTTCAAGATCACTCTCATTCGAATGTGGTATCGGTTCTCATTCGAATGTGGTATCGGTTCATTCATGTATCTCTCGTTTACTCAGGTGTCACACCTTATATTTTGAAATTTGTGTATGATTCTCTAAGCTATTGAATTTATTCAAATTGACACGTATACGTAAATTTATTTTTTTAAAATTTTGAATTTATAAGTGATTTATTAAATATAAAAATTAAATATTTATTTTTAAAATTTGGTCAAAACTCATAAAGATTAGGATGTAATTTAAGTCGAATAAAATAAGCATTGAATTTCAAACCAAATTTGCATGTTAATGAATAGAGATAGTGTCACACGTTAACTAATTCGTATTTATTATTATTTAATACGACAATAAATAGGAGTGTTTGGTAATTAATGACCTTCCAAATTTTTATTTATAAAAGGAATTACAAAAATATCATAATGGAAATACTATATTATTTTTTCAGTCACAAAAAAAAATTAAATAAATAAAATACAAAACTAACATATTTTTAAATTAAATATTTTTATTTTATTAGGGGCTAAATTGGAATTAAAAAAAATTGAAACACTCACGGTAGATATTGATTGTCTTCTTTGAGCTTTCTCTTTCGAGCTTCCGCTCAAGGTTTTTAAAACGTGACTGCTATCCAAACCCACAACTAATAGATATTGTCTTATTTAGGCTTCCCTTCTTTGAGGTTTCTCTTTCGGACTTCCGCTCAAGGTTTTTAAAACGTGTCTGCAGTCCAAGACCACAGCTAATAGATATTGTTTTATTTCGACTTCCTCTCAAAGTTTTTAAAATGTGTTTGCACTCCAGCCCACCGCTAGCAAATATTGTCATATTTGAACTTTTTCTTTCGGGGTTTTCCATTTTGGGCTTCCCCTTGAGGTTTTTAATACGTGTCTGCAGCTTAAACCCACCGCTAGCAAATATTATCTTATTTGAGCTTTTTCTTTCGGGACTTTCCCTTCTGGACTTCCACTCGAGATTTTTAAAATGTTTATGTACCTTAAACTCACTGCTAGCAGATATTGTTCTATTTGAATTTTTCCTTTCGGGGTTTTTCCTTCTAGGCTTCTCCTCAAGGTTTTTAAAATGTGTCTGCACCTCAAGTCCACCCCTAGCAAATATTGTCCTATTTGAGTTTTTTCTTTTCGGGGCTTTATATTGTCCTATTTGGATTTTTTTTTTTTTTTTTTTTTTTTTTTTTTTTTTTTTTTGGGTTTTCCCTTCCGAGCTTCTCCTCAAGGTCTTTAAAATGCGTCTGCATCTCAAGTCCACCGCTACCAGATATTGTACTATTTGAGTTTTTTCTTTTCGGGGCTTTATATTGTCCTATTTGGATTTTTTTTTTTTTTTTTTGGGTTTTCCCTTCCGAGCTTCTCCTCAAGGTCTTTAAAATGCGTCTGCATCTCAAGTCCACCGCTACCAGATATTGTACTATTTGAGTTTTTTCTTTTGGGACTTTCCCTTCTAGGCTTCTCCAAGGTTTTTAAAATGTGTCTACAGCCCAAGTCCACCACTAGCAAATATTGTCCTATTCGGACTTTCCAATTGGGCTTCTCCTCAAGATTTTCCTCTTCGGGCTTTCTCTTTCGAGATTTCCTCAAAGTTTTCAAAACATGTCTGCAAGGAAAGACGTATCTACTCAGGATTCCCCTCAAGGTTTTCAAAACGTGTCTGCTAACGAAAGGTTTCCACACTCATATAAAGAATGTTTTATTTCCCCTCTCCAACTTACGTGGGATCTCACAATATGTTCTATATCATGTCAGTACGCTACACACTCAATTTTATAATTCACCAACAGTGAAAAACTCAAACTGAAAAAACGTCAATACGTCAAGGACTAAATTAAAAAAAATATTTAAGAATTACATTTATAAATATCTATCAATTCAATACGTACTATGTCATGTAAGTCTACCGCAACACGAAAAGACTCAAACAAATAAAACGTCAACACGTCAGGGACTAAATTGAAATAAAAAAACTTTCATTTAAGGACAATATCTAGGTGAAATTCTTAAAAAAAAAGATTTAAGGATAGCTTAGAGAGAGAGAGAGAGAGAGAGAGTGAGTGACCTTGTTGCGTTTGGGAGCAAAGATGATGAAGAGAGTGACATAAGAGAGCTGAAAGGCAACGCCGGCGGCATTGACGGTGGTAACAAGCAACCCATCAGCACCCTTCAAAGCCCCATAAAATGTCCACAAGCTTGTGCTCAACAGCGTCGTCACGTACGGTATCGCTTTGTAATTCTCCGTTGATTTCTTCTTCACTATTCCTATAAATGTTTTTCTTTCATTCCACACACCAAAAAAAATATATATATATTATATTTCTCGTTTAGTTCCTTCTTAAAAAACGTTAGAACAGTCTACCTTCACCGCTAGCAGATATTATCAGTAGGAAAGGTTTCCACACCCTTATCGAAGATGTTTCGTTTTCCTCCCAAATCAATGTGGGATATCACAATCTACCACTACCTCTATGACCCAGCGTCGTCGCTGGTACTCGCTCATTTCTCCAATCGATGTAGAACCCCTACCAAATTCACCTCCTGCGTGTCTACCCCTTCGGGGAACAACGAGAAGACATACTATCTGTAACAGTCCAGACCCACCATTAGTAGATATTGTCCTCTTTAAAAGAGATCTCTAGGAGAAGGATGTTTCGTTTTCCTCAACAATCCACCACCACCTTCATGGCTCAGCGTCCTCGCTGTCCCTCGTTCCTTTCTTCAGTCGATGTGGGATCCCTACCAAATCCATCCCCTGCGTGTCTACTCCGTTCGGAGAACAACGAGAAGACTGACATATCGTCCGGTGTCTGGCTCTGATACCATTTGTAACAGCCCAGACCCACCGTTAGCAGATATTGTCCTCTTTAAAAGAGGTCTTCTAGGAAAGGTTTCCACACCCTATAAATGATGTTTCATTTTCCTCTCCAACCAATGTGAGATATCACAATTCACCACCCCCTTCATGGCCTAGTGTCCTCGCTAGTACTCGTTCCTTTCTCCAATCGATGTGGAGCCCCTACCAAATCCACCTCCTGTGTATCTACCCCATTCGGGGAACAACAAGAAGGCTGACACATTGTTCGGTGTCTGGTTCTAATACTATTTGTAACAGCCCAAACTCACCACTAGCAGATATTGCCTTCTTTGGGCTTTCCTTTTCGAGCTTCCCCGTGAAGGCTTTAAAACAGGTCTGCTAGGGAAAGGTTTCCACATCCTATGTTATTTCGTTTTATTCTCCAACCAATGTGGGATATCACAAACGCCTCCCTAAATAATCAACTAATTATCTGGGTTGGGTTGGTTCTAGTCATTTCTATTATTTATTTAAATTTTTATTTTTAATAAAAAGAAAATATTAATGGTGTATTTTAAAATTAAAAATAAATTTGGATTAATTTCAACCAATTCAAGTTATAAATTTTTTATTTATTGGAACTGATGGGTTGATTATTTTTATTTTTTTTTTTTAGTAATGTCTAGAAAAAAATAATATATTGTATATTTTGAAAATTTAAATAAATTGAAGCAAAAAAATAAAAAATAAAAACATTTTCAAATAGAACTACCAAAATATATTTCTCATTTAGTTCTTTCTCTTAAAAACATTTTTAAATAATTAATTTAACCTATAAACTTTTTTCGGGTTATCTGGGTTGGGTTGGATCACATTATTCTCGCTATTTATTCAAATTAAAATATCTATTTATTTAATAAAATTTAGTCCAATCTAATCTAATTTCACGAGAATTCATGACCGTTCAATTCATAAAATTATTATTTATTTAAATTCGACTCAAATCGTAGTTAGGTTGGGTTGATTGAGTTTTTTCGAAATTTTTGAAAAATTAAATAAATTAAAACCCAAAAAAATTATAAAAAAAAAATTAAAAAAATCAACTTTTAAAGTGGGAAAGTGGGTGCAAATCCAAATTCCAAATATGCCCTTCAAAAAAAAAAAAAAAAAAAATAAAAACTAAATAATAGTAATTAAACCCCATTTATGACCACCCTCATTTCTCTGTACTTTAACGTAATTTTACTTTATACCCTAACAAACTTTGGAATTTTGTCCCTAAATTGTGCCAAATAGTATGTACACGTCCTTGTGGTGACCTAGCAACCGAAAAAGAGTTTATAACTCAATTCAACTCTCTATTTTCCAGTTGAACTAGGTCGGGTTGTTGGGTTGTAAGGTTGTCATATAGTCACGATATATCACCAATATCTATTACTAACGTTAAATATTTTTTGGCTTTTTAAGATTAGAGTAGAGTTATAACCCTATTTTCGAGGTGGTCGGGTCATATCAGCTTGCAAACTAAACCGAATTTTAAATTTTTCAAAAATTTAACCCGACTCAAATTAAAACAGACAAAAATAACCCTTACCCAATTTTTATAGTTTGAATTAGTTTAAAGTAGTCTAATTATTAGGTCCCAGTTCAATTAAACTATGGTCAAGTTGAATTAAAATACGATACTTACATGGGAGATGCAAAAACCAAGATAGAAATCACATTCCCTGCATCCAAACACCCCCACAAACCCCATCAAAACCCACAAAGAATTTTAAAAAAAATTAATAAAGAAATAAAAAAAGGAACTGACCAATGATGCCCAAAACGGTGCTCAGATCAGTAGCCATGGCTTTGCCGGAGAAGAAGACAGCGGTGGCAGTGGTGAAGGCGGTGACGGCGGATACGGCGGCGACGGGGGCGGAGGAATTAAATTATTGAAGAAGAGAGGGAAAGAGGGAGAGAGAGAGAGCTGAAATGGTACGAAAAGAAAAAGGAAATTGAATTTTGGGTTATAGATTCTTCAAAGTGAAGCCTTCCACTACAATGGAGACACGTTTTGATGAGCTTTTTGTGGTTTTCAAGTGGACCCTCCATTTGTGATAATGAAGTCTTACCATTACTGACCCAAACAAATGCTTGTGTTTGAAACGAGACGTGCAAAAACACTCTATTTTTGAGTTGGGTTTGTAATCGATTTGATCTAAAAACACTATTTTCTCGTTAATGATTTGTCTCCTTATCGATGTTGATGGATATTAAGATCAAGAGATGGCAGCGGATTTGACGGTTGTGCGGCACTCACCCTCCGCACTGAGTGAGTCAAGCCAACTTCGGACCACATTGCCTATAGTCGGGCAACGTTCGTTCAGACCTCGGGTACCGAAGAGAAGATTTTAGAAAACGGGGGAGAGAGGTTTAGGAAAAAGAGTTTTGAAAGCAAGAATGAGAGAGAGATTGAGAGTGGTGTTATATATCATGCAAGCAAAAAGACAACAATAACGGCTTAGATAGTATATAATCTTTTGGGTAAGGAGAATTTATGTAATATCACTGTACATATCAGAACGCTATTGACTCGTAATCAAGACTCGAACGGTACAATGTGCGTATTAAATAGTCTCGATATAACTATCACTTAATTTGGGCTTAGATCTCATTTATGTTTATGAACTTTCAACCGTACCTTAAAGTATATGCTCTAACATGGTAATATGTATGTATGTATATTTAAACGGTATAAGTTAACATCATGTAAAAACTCAAATTCATCGCTAGTAGATATTATTCAATTTGGCTTGACTCTTTACGTATTGCCTTCAGTCTCACGGTTTTAAAATGCGTCTACTAGGGAGAGGTTTCCACACCCTTATAAAGAATGCTTTGTTCCCCTATCCAACCGATGTGGGATCTCACAATCCACCCCCTTGGGGGCCTAGCGTCCTCGCTGACATATCACCTAGTGTCTGGCTCTGATACCATTTGTAAAAATACAAGCCCACCGCTAGCAAATATTGTCCGCTTTGGTCTGTTACGTATCATTGTCAGCTTTACGGTTTTAAAACACGTCTACTAGGGAGAGATTTTCATGTACTTATAAAGAATGTTTCGTTCCCCTCTCCAACCGATATGGGATCTCACAATCTATCCCCTTGGGGCCTAGCGTCCTCGTTGACAAATCACCCGGTGTCTGGCTCTGATACCATTTGTAGAAGTCCAAGCCCGCCACTAGCAGATATTATCCACTTTAGCCCGTTGCATATCGTCACCAACCTCACGATTTTAAAACGCGTCTACTAGGGAGAGGTTTCCATGTACTTATAAAGAATACTTCGTTCCCTTCTCCAACCGATGTGGGATCTCACAATCTACCTCCTTGAGTGCCTAGCGTCCTTGCTGACACATCACCTAGTGTCTTGCTCTAATATCAATTGTAAAAGCTCACGCCGCTAGTAGATATTGTTCGTTTTGACCCATTATGTATCACCATCAGCCTCACGGTTTTAAAACGCGTCTATTAAGGAGAGATTTCTGCACACTTATAAGGAATGTTTCGTTCCCCTCTCCAACCGATGTGGAATCTCACACATCGAACATCGAGTAAGCAAAATTTTGATAAAATCGTGACGTAACAAAGATCAAAATGATTATTTTAAAAAAAATTCAACCACTAAAATAAATACTATGGAAGTTACGAGAAACTCACTTAAATTAAATTATACACATAGAGCAAGACAAGAGATGGTGAGAGAAAGGGAGAGGTGATGGTACCATTTTGGATTCACTTGATTTATTTATTTATTTATTTTTCATAATTTATTGTTTGTTTATTTATTTATTTTTTTAAAAAAAGGACAATTGAAATCACCAACTTTATCTTTAATCTTTGTAGATAGAGAGAGATTGTTAAGTTTAGAGGGAGAAAAGGTGGTCATAATACAAATAAAACTAAATTAAATTAAAATACATAATTTTTTATTATTTTAGTATTTAATAAAATTTAATTCAATTTTGATGTTTTTAATGTAACATGTTTTATAAGTGTGTTAAATAGGTTAAGGGTTTGACGTTTTTGTAGAAGTGGAGTATTGTGGACACCCGAGACCTCAATGAAAACAAACCTTAATAGATGATTTTAAAAAATATGAACGTTATTCAGATAATTTGACGTGTAACTTTTTTAAAAATCAAACAAAGATACTGAGGGAAACAATGGATATTATAGCTAACAAGAACATCATAAATGTTTTATAGCGTTTTTCGTAAGTGATTAAGTAATTTTAATTAATTAATTGATTGATAGTTTAATAATAACAAACCTACTTTTAATTATTAACCATTGGTAGTATTTTGAACTGTATATGTAAAGTTTGGAATAACAATTCCAACGGCTTTTGAATGGTTCAAATTAGAGCTAAAACAAAAAAGTTATAGCTGAAACAAGATAAAATAGGAAATAACCGACTTGGGTCATGGGGTAGTCCGTTGTGGTCGCTTTTCCTCACTGTGCCTTGTGTTCTTACATGGCAAGGAGTGTCAGATGGAACGTGGGTCATGGGGGTAGTTCATGAGATTTCTAACGAGAGTTGAGTGGATGCTTTTATTGATCGATTATATTGAGCTTTATTATCTACTCGGCTAAAAGACTTGTTTTGTATATGATGGCATGTACCTAGCCCCTTGCACGTGTCATGTATGTTATATGAAATTATGATGTTATTGTGATGTGATTCTATACGATATGATGATGTGTTATGACATACTATGATGATGTGAGCTGATATGATGTAGTGATGATGCTATGTACCATGATGCTATAATGATAAGCTAAGATGATGATGCTTTATGACATGATGAGCTAAGATGTACGATGATGACATGACACAATACGATGATATTTCATATTACGATGATGTGCATGTATGAGATATTATGTTGCATTATGATGAATAGTTTTTAGATACACAATCCCTATGATGCTATAAACGATGAAGGTACGAAAGCTTATGCATACATGTTAGCTACAGTAACATATGAACGATATGTGGGGTTGTGTCAGATGAATGATTTAAGATGAAAAGTATTGGATCTCATGCCTACTGTATGTTCATCTACATCAGGTTACTTCCTTTTTTATGATGATGAGTACGGAAGCATGCACTATGATGATGACGACGACATGCCTTGCATGATATTCGAGGGTTGTTGTACCTCCTGACATCTGGTTACGAGCAACTAGCCCGACCATGTTTGGGCCAGGGAATGTGTGAACTGCTTGGTGGGCTCATGCCCGAACGTGTTGTTCGTGTGTAGGGAAGTACTACACATCCAATTGAGCTACTCTATTTTTGTCAATAATTTTGCGTCTACCTATATTTATTTTTTATGTACTATGATGTTATATTAAACTAAGTTGATGATGCATTATGACAGGATGATCTAAGATGTATGATGATATTTCATATTACAATGATGTGCATGCATGAGATGCAATGTTGTATTATGATGATGAGTTTTTTTTATTAACAACCCCGGTAATGTTATGTTATAAAGGTATGAAAGCTTATGCATACATGTTAGCTACAGTAACATATGAACGATGTGTGGGGTTTTGTCACATGAATGATTTAAGATGAAAAGTATAGGGACCTCATGCATATTGTATGTTCATCTACATCGGGTTACTTCCCTTTGTATAATGATGAGTACGGACGCGTGCACTATGATGATGATCACGACATGCCTTGCATGATATTCGAGGGTTTGTTGTACCTCTGGACATCTGGTTACAAGCAACTAGCCTGATCCTAATGGAGCTAGGGAGTGTGTGAACCGCTTGGTGCTTGTTGTTCGTGTGTAGGAAAGTACTACATGATAAGGCAACCCTAATCCTCAGCCCAACGATCCAAGCTTTTGTTTTAGCAAAAACCCTTGAATCAAAGTAATAAACACCTCCTTATACGAAATTTGGATCAACCAAGAGATAAGGCTAGAATTAGATTACCTCTTATGATCAAAGATCTAGAAGCAAGATTTGGAACCTTGTTCTAAATTGAGTCACTCCACAATCTAACTTGATCAAGGCTTGATTGAAATGTCTCATGGAAAATATGATGCTCGGTAGATTACCTCTTATGATCAAAGATCTAGAAGCAAGATTTGGAACCTTGTTCTAAATTGAGTCACTCCACAATCTAACTTGATCAAGGCTTGATTGAAATGTCTCATGGAAAATATGATGCTCGGATTTATTCGAGATGTTTGTGGACGGGATTTATTCCCAATCCCCTTTAATCTCCACAAAGAATAAGTCAAATTGACCATTTGACTTTTACATAATTTATGAAATTAAACATAATTTTTTTTACACGTGTAGGTTCGAATTCTATTGTTGAAATATTTAGATCCATTTGGAACACTGTGATTCTTATCACTACACATCCAATCGAGCTAATTCTATTTTTGTCAATAATTTTGCGTCTACCCTATATTTATTTTTTTATGTACTATGATGCTATGATAAACGAAGATGTATGATGATGAATGCTATGTTGTATTATGATGATGAGTTTTTTTATACACAACCGCTAGAATGTTATGAAGGTATGAAAGCTTATGCATACATGTTAGGTGGGTTCATGCTCGAACGTGTTGTTCGTGTGTAGGGATATGATGATGATGATGACATGTCTTACATGATATTCGAAGGTTTGTTGTACCTCCAGACATTTGGCTACAAGCAACTAGCTCGACCATATTGGGGCTAGGAAGTGTGTGAACTACTTGGTGGGCTCATGCCCGAATGTGTTGTTCATGTGTAGGGAAGTACTACACATCCAATTGAGCTACTCTATTTTTGTCAATAATTTTGCTTCTCCCCTATATTTATTTTTTATTTATTTAAATTACATTATTTATTAAAAAAAATCGAGGTTACTTATGTAAACATTATTTTGCGTGGCCCACAAAATGAACAAAAGCCCAATA